TTATTAAAAATGATTTTTTATGTTTGGACAATTTCTTTCTGCGGGCAGTTTGTTGCTGTTTTCAGTTGGCTTGTCTTGGGCTAATTAATTTTGTTTCTGATAATTTAGGTGAGATGACTGATTCACACGTGGCGGCCAGCGGACTTGGATAGTCGGTGGGTGGGTTGGGCTTTGTAGCAAGTTAAGTGTAATTTTGGATCAATGATATGATGTTATTTGGGAAATTGGTCCATTTAAATACGCTTCAAAAGACAATCTCATGAAATCATGTTATTTGAGAGTCTAATTTCTTTTTTTCTTTTTTTTTAAGTACATCGATTTTTTTACATTAAGAAAATACAGAGTTTGATAAAATCACACAATAAGCAGCTTAATTGGTATCGAATTTGCCATCCACAAGATTCGAACCTAAGACATCTCACTTCCAAGTGAAGAGGAATACCACCAAACCGTAGTACTGAGTGACAATTTTCTCCTTGTTTGCTGTCAATAGTTTAGGACTGAGGACACTCACGTTCGAGATAGGACGTATCATATTGGAATTAGGTGTTCTCGTGGCTTCTTGTTGTAATTGAATTCTAGTTTTTTGATAAAAAAAAAATGCAAATAAGCATCAGCAAAGGCAAATTTGAATCACATTATTACTAGCTCGTTATGAAACTTAGCCCACTCTCCACCTCCTTTAGTGTAGAGATAATATTGTTTGCTAAAAAAATAAAAATAAAAACTTGCCATCAGGCTAGTCTTAGGGCTAGCCCTGAGAAGGTGTTGTGTGGGAAAACAGACTAGGAACATGTGACATGGGATGTGAACACATAATGCAGTAATTTCAGTGCAGTGCATGACATTAATAATTTATTGATATAATACATGACATGTGCTATTTACGAAAGAAATAAACCAAGGGCATGATGCAGTGCAGTAATTTTAGTGGTCAGAATGGGGGGCTCAGGCAACACCACCTTAGTACAGTCAAACTGTCAAGAAACCTTTTGATTACCAGGTGTGGATATATTAAGTAAGACTCATGAATGAAGAAGCAACTTTTTAGAGGTGCAAACTTGCAATGCAAGCTATTCATGCCTTATGGATATAAGCGATATGAGATACACGCATTTGGTGGAAATGCTCATCAACTATTTGCAGTAAAAAAGGGTATGTGATTATGTTAGATCAAGTAGCCGCCTTTTCATTTAGGATCTTCTTTCCATGAAAGTTTTCTCCAGCTAGCCTCACAGTTGTTGCCCCTACCAGAGTTTGAAGTCATTTATAGGGAATTCTACCTTTGGATGCTCTCATATCAATGAAAAAGATGAGAACTATGAATGCAAATGAGTACTTTGAGAAGCATCCTGAGTTGCAGACAAAGTTTGGCAATGAAATCTGAAATGACTGTTTGAGTGGATATTCAATGTTGGGTTTAGTGCGATTAAAGGCCCAATAACACGAAAAGTAGAAGGAGGATTGGCTCGGACAGTTGGCAGCCTAGGAAGAATTGAAAATCATTTTTGCCAAGATATAGGTAATAAGCCTATGTGAGAAGTGACAAGTGACAGAGGGCAGCTCACCTCAAGCAAAAAGTAATTTTCCATGGCATGAATAGGTAAATAACAAAAGTAGATGATGACTCACCAAACTCTGGAGGCCATCACCAAAAGGGAAGACTTGGATAGTCGGGCTAGAAAGTCTATAAAAACAATGAAGGACACAAGGAAGATCTCTATCAACCAATCAATCAAAAGACATTCAACTCTGCACTCCAAAAAGCAAGAAACCATAAAGCTTTAGTTTGTTCAAACTTTACCCCTTTAGTCGCAGGTCCACCATAGAAAGCCATCTTTTGTCAAGTTTTAGAAGCTCTGCTACCTTTCCCTGTGTTGTAGTATCAAATCTCTTTAGCAAACCCGATTTATATTTCATTCTCCAAGACTTCAACCCCTGTAAAACACAAAGAGAAGTGGTTGCAAGAAGACGAACCTTGCCTGACAAGGTTGTAATCTTGCCCGAGTCTCTTTTGTTTGTACTTACATAAAGTAGAAATGTTGTTTATGCATCTTTCATTGAATCCTATATCATTTTCGATTGCTTTCATTCAAAATATATCCATGATTAATCTTGCTATACTAATTAACCTTGTTTCTTTATTGTTAACCTAAATTTGTAACCAAAGAAATAATTTGAAGGGCCTTGAACTCCCTTTAATTGGACATATGATATTATGAGTAAAAGTCCTTGTTTACAAGGCAAGAAAAAATAACTTTATACAGACTTAACCCATCTGTAAACAATCCAATCGAACTAAGAAGTTGAAATAACTTGTGGCGCAAGTAATCAATCCATTTAATAACTAAAAAGAACACTTTGTTATACAAAAATAACCGTGGCACGCTCAGATCCATATTAGTTTTGATTGTGAGTCTCAAGGCCTAACAAAGATCCCACAAAGGCACCATTCAAACTAATAACAAACTCATATTGCAGTATATCAAGTAGCAAACCTTGTCCGAAAGGCAAGACCCATAAGAGTTGTGTGAAGGACAGATCTAGCCCGAACAACGACTACTGGAGTTATCAAAATTTGAAGGTTTCATTGGCTGCAAATATTTCTTAAAAGTGTCATGTTGCTCTTTTTGGGTAATTATGACTAGACTGGTACTTCAACTTTTGACAAAGGCGTGCACTTACTTTACATGAGGAAAGTATCTGAATTCATGGAATGCTTTCTTTTCTTTACGGATTCAATATTTCTCCACAAAAGCAAAACTTCTTCACTTAATCTTGTAAGTTTCTTTGTTTTCCACCTGAATTGTTACTTGTGAGATGAGCTTTTTATTGAGCCGAGTTTTGGCCTAAAATCCTCAAACATACCAAATCCAAATCCACCCATATCCAAATAGGGACTTGCATAGCATACTAATTTTTTTATATAAATATAAAATAGCCTTCATGCACGTGCACATGCAGAAGAGATTTTCTGAATCACGGCATGCTACGTGCGACTTATACGTTGTAAATGTATTTATATGCGTGAATTTCTTCAATAATTTTTTTTATGACAAAAAGAAGGTCAAATATTTGAAGTAAATGAATTATTAGATTATGCTAGAAGAAACCCCTCATAAACCAATCAAAGTAGATGAATCCACCCCTTAGTGTAGACAACATCGTTTGTTCAAAAACAAAAACAAAAACAACCATTTGACAACTAATTGAATCATATTATTATGTGAGTGCAAAATGCCTTTTTTTATCACTGGTAGTATGCGTCTCTTAAGATGTTTTGAACGTGTTTAAAAATAGAGAAAATAATATTTAATAAACAATTGATTGAATCATATTATTGCTAACCCATTGTAAGGCTAAACCCACCCCCTCCCTCTTAGTGTAGATAGTATCGTTTGTTGGGAAAAAAAAAAAAAGAAACAATCATTTGATAACTAATTGAATCACATTATTATGCGTGTGCGAAAAAACTTTTTTTTATAACCGGAACTACACGCCTCTTAAGATGTTTTGAACGTGTTTAAAAAAGAGAAAATAATATTTAATAAACAACTGATTGAATCATATTATTGCTAGGTACTAAAAAAAACTGTACAAAAAGAATTATTATTAAAAAAACACTGTTTATATGATGAAAATACCCCTGCAACTAATTGAATCACATTATTACTAATCCATTGTGAGGCTAAGCCCACTCCCCTCCCCTTTAGTGTAGATAATCTTAATTGTTAAAAAAAAAAAAATCATTTGACAACTAATTGAATCACATTATTATGAGCGTGCGAAATACCTTTTTATAATCGGCACTATGTGTCTCTTAAGATGTTTTGAACGTGTTTAAAAATGGAGAAAATAATATTTAATAAACAACTAGTTGAACCATATTATTGCTAGTCTATTGGGAGGTTAAGTCCACCCCTCTCTTTTAGTGTAAATAATATCGTGTGTTTTAAAAAAAAAAAAACAATCATTTGACAACTAATTAAATCACATTGTTATGCGTGTGAGAAAGATCTTTTTTATGACCGGTACTACACGCCTCTTAAAATGTTTTAAACGTGTTTGAAAAAGAGAAAATAATATTTAATAAACAACTAATTGAATCACATTATTGCTCACATATTGTGAGGTACTAAAAGAAAACTGTACAAAAAGAATTATTATTAAAAAACACTGTTTATATGACGAAAATACCCTGACAACTAATTGAATCACATTATTGTTAACCCATAATGAGGCTAAGCCCACATCCTCTCCCTTAGTGTAGGTAATATCAATTATTCAAAAAAAAAAAACAATTATTTGACAACTAATTGAATCACATTATTATGCGTGTGTGAAATACATTTTTTATAACCGGCATTACACGCCTTTTAAGATGTTTTGAAGGTGTTAAAAAAGAAAAAATAATATTAATAAACAATTGATTAAACAACATTATTGCTAGCCTACTGTGAGGCACTACAAAAAAATAGTACAAAAAGAATTAATTATTAAAAAATATTATTTATATAACGAAAATGCCCCTACATTATTTTGGATTGCTTTTGAATTTATTTTGTTTGAAAGCCATTTTGTTCAAAACTTTTTGCTGAAGCCCATGACCCCAAAATGGGCTGTTGGCTTTATATACAGAGATGAAAGTGATACTGAAAGAAAGGGAGTCCAATTGTGGGACCTCAGATAGATGGAGGGTAAAACGCTCTTTAAGAAATGAGTTACAAGCCCTTTTTCTAAAAGACAGTTGCAATTGAGGGCTTAATGTACGCGAAGGCTATGTACGCAACAACATTGACACAAGAAATTCAAATTCGATGTGGTTTGGCATTATCTGCAAGTATAGTTTTGGACCTTGGAGTCTAATTGAAAGACATGCAGCAACCACACACCAGAAAAGGTGTCTTTACAGCTAGCATTGTTTGCAGCACATGCTCCGCTTGCTCACGCAACCTGTATTATGGTCTATGAAATTTGTTGGTCAATAAAAGTGGCCTATGCGATATTTATTAATAAATACAAGAATCAAATATATAGCAAACGAGACAAGGAAATGCATTTTTATCACTGTACAAAGATTGAAATTGCTGTTGAATTCAATCCAGAGGAAAGAAGAGGAGAGAGGAGCAAACCAAGAACACAAAGGCAGCAGATGGCTTCCCCTCCATTAGAGTTTTTGACGGGCAAGATAGTGTCGATTATCGAAAATGAAGTGTCACTAATAGGAGGAGTTCGTGACCAACTCGATGAAATCAAGCGTGAGCTGCTAACCATGAAGGCTTTCCTGGCAGATGCTGGAAAGAAGGGAGCTCTCAGTGAAGTAGAGAAAACATGGGTCGAAAATGTGAGGGACGTATCCGTCGATATCGAAGACATCATTGACCAGTTCACCTATCAAATGAACAAGCAGAGAAGTTGGGGTCCATACACAAGAGCCTTTCGTCAAATGATTTGCTTCCCCAAGCATCTTTGGGAGAGGCATAGGATCGCCACCAAATTGCACAAGATCATCATAACAATCAGAGCTATTCGACAAAGAAACCAATGCTATGGCGTTGATCGCATAGAAGGCATCGGTGCTTCGCATAATTACGATCCCAATCGAGTCAGAATCTATGGTGAGTCCTCTCTTTTCTTTAAAGATGATGAACTTGTGGGAATCAAAGCTGCTAAAGACAAGTTAGTTGGATGGTTGTTGTCTGAACATCCAGAAAGAAGTGTAATTTCGGTGGTTGGAATGGGAGGTTCTGGCAAGACCACCTTAGTGGCAAACACCTTCAACAGTCAAACTGTAAAGAAACACTTTGATTGTCATGCCTGGATCACAGTCTCGCAAACTTACAACATCGAAGATCTGCTAAAGATAATGATCAAGGAACTTTTTAGAGCTGCAATGGAAGCTATTCCTCTTGACATAAGCAATATGAGCTACAGAGGTTTGGTGGAAATGCTTATAAAATATTTGCAGCCGAAGAGGTACGTGATTGTCTTGGATGATGTATGGGATAGAGAACTCTGGAGCCACATAAACGTAGCACTTCCTGATGGAGCACATGGAAGTCGAGTTGTGCTTACAACTCGGAATGAAGACATTGCTTCATTTTCATTCGGGGTCAGAAGCCATGTGTACCATGTTCATCCTCTCATTGAAAAAGAGGCTTGGGATCTTTTTTCCATGAAAGCTTTCTCTAGCTGGCCAGACAGGTCCTGCCCCCAAGAGCTCGAACACATTGCTAGGGATCTTGTTAGAAAGTGCAAAGGTTTACCCCTTGGAATTGTGGCTTTGGGTGCTCTCATGTCAACCAAAAGATTAACGTCCGAGTGGACGAGATTCTGCAGTAGCTTGAATTGGGAGCTAAGCAACAATCCAACACTTGAAGTAGTAAGAAGCATCCTACTGCTAAGCTTCAACGGTTTACCTTATCGACTCAAGCGTTGCTTCTTATATTTTTGCATTTTTCCAGAAGATTATGTGGTTAAATGTGGAAGGCTTAAAAGGCTGTGGATGGCAGAGGGGTTTGTCGAACAAGTTCGAGGGGCTAGGCCAGAAGAGATTGCTGAAAGCTACATTGCGGAGCTCACTTGTCGATGCATGCTGCAAGTTGTTCAGAGGGAACCATCTGGAAGGGCAAAAACATTCAAGGTGCATGACCTTTTGCGAGAACTTGCCCTTTCAATTTCAGAAGCTGAGAAATTTTGTGCAGTGTATCACAGTCAGGAAGCAAATGAAGGGTGTAAAGATGCACACCGGTTATCACTGCGAGCAAGCAATGGAGAATTTCAACCACAGAGAGATATGTCAAAGGTTCGTACCTTCTTTATTTTTTCCCCTGAGATGAGCGATTCTTCTTCGTTGGAAAAACTGCCGTCTGGTTTCAAACTCTTAAGAGTCTTGGATCTAAAATATCTTCCACTTGCTCAGCTCCCAGATGATATAGTGAAGTGCTTTAACTTGAGGTATTTAAATCTGAAATCAACGAAAGTGAAAGAGCTTCCGAAAGACATAGGAAAGCTCCACAATTTGGAAACATTAAACATTAAGAACTCCATGATAAGGTCACTTCCAGTTGGAATGGTGAAGTTAAAAAACCTACGACATCTTTTGATGTACCATTATCCGGCGTATGATGTCAAGTCTTTTAATTGGTTGGATAGCACACAAGCAATGTTCGACATAAGTAAGCTAGAGAGCTTGCAAGTGTTGGATGGTATCGAGGCAGGAGGTGAGCTAATCAAACAACTTCGACACATGACCCAACTCACAAGACTTAGCTTATCAAATGTGAGAGGTGTTGATGAGAAGGATTTGTGCAAATCAATTGAGAGCATGAAACTCATCGAATTCTTAGGTGTCAAGACAAGTGACGAGGATGAAGTATTACGCTTGGATGCATTGCCAACAACTCCTCCTCTACTCAAGACACTTGTCCTAACAGGAAAGCTAGAAAAGGTTCCACATTGGTTTCATTCCCTTGACAGCGTTATATACTTGAGTTTGCATTGGTCCAGATTAACAGAGGATTTCCTTCCTTACATCCAAACACTGCCAAATTTGACCAAACTTGTGCTACACAATGCACACGTCGGGAATCAATTAGTCTTTCATACTGGATTCCAAAAGCTTACTGAATTAAGTCTAGGCAATTTCCCTGAATTGAATACCATCATCATAGAGAATGGGGTGATGCCATCACTACGGACACTGCGGATTGGGGAGTGCATGGAGTTAAAACAATTGCCTGATGGAATTGAACACCTTACATGTCTCCAAGAATTGAATTTTATAGATGTTCCCAGTGAACTCATAGAGCGAATACGTGGAGAAGGAAGCTTGGATCGTTCTAAGGTCAAGCACATCTCCGACATCCGTTATTGCTGCAAAATAGAATTGGGGTTCTGGGCTTGGAAAAGATTGTGATCCTCCCCAAATCCCTTTGTTTTCCGATATCTGTACAAAACTTGCTGTGTTATTACCCCGTTTGTGGCTTAAATGTAATACTATTTGGGAATCCTACTTTTTCTTTCACTTTTTAGTTCTTCGTTTTTGCCCCTAATGCTTTGTATACTTAAAATTTGCCATTATGGTATTTCCCTTTTCATACTCTGATTGTGAATTCTGGAAGTCAGGATTGTTACCACAAATTGTAATTAATTAGGTGGTAATTTACTAAAAAGAATTACTTCCTATGCAGGATTGCAGTTTCATTTATTCTTACTGTCACATGAAATTCAAATTATTGAGTTTTTTTTTTTAATTTATAACTTTTGTGATAATTTGATGGAACCCCAAAATAGTCCAGGTGGATTTTTTGTTTCTCCTCATGCCCCCTATGCCCTCCAGTTGATATGCCACTCTTACTTTTTTGCATTCGGATTTTAATGTACAAAGATTGGAATTTCATTTATCCATATTCAATTGCAAATACTGGTTTTCATCTTCCTATGCTTCAATTATAAGCATGTTACAGTTGGTGCCACTAATGATTAAACTCGTACAATAATTCATGCATACAACAGACGTATTATGCATACAATGCTACTCTAAAATATCGGAAGCACGATACTCATACCTGAAAATATTACAACCACCACAATGTGCAGAATCATCACCAATAATCTCCACATGAACATATTCCAGTCTCAAAATGGTGGAACCGCTTTGAATCTCGAACTATGATACTCCTCTTCTCAATCAACGATATGAATTTCGCAGTGCTGTGACAGTCTCCACAGATTCTAAGGTTCTTGGTAATAATGATCGGCGAGCCAGCATTCGTCACCAAAAGCCCAAATGCAATGGCTAATTTCTCACTGTGCTTGCTGATCATATCCTCTTTCACCTCCTCTTCAACATCATGTAGAACACATTCTGTTTCAGACACAAACCCAGCTTCTCGGATCTTTCCAATCACTTCTTCCAATTTAGTATATATCTTATCTGAGTCAGGGTGAGATTGATCACCCACGACAAAGCGATGAATTTTATTTCCATGTTCGATAAAACTGCATCCAGGGTTTCTGATGAGACCTTTGTCCTTCATCAAAGCCCTCACCTTTGAAGCATTCCTCCACAAACCAGCTGCAGAGTACATATTGGATAGCATGATATAGTTTCTGGAATCTGATGGGTCCAAAGAAAACAATCTCTCTGCAACTTCCTTCCCAAGTTGAGTGTTACCATAAACCCTACAAGCACCGAAAAGAGCCCCCCATACGCCAGAGTTTGGCTCCATTGGCATATGCCTAATCAGCTCGTAAGCATCATTTAGAAGCCCAGAGCGTCCCAGAAGATCAACCATGCATGAATAGTGATCCAACCTAGGCTCAACTCCATAAACTTGAGGCATAATGTTGAAGTAATTCTTCCCCTCCTCGACAAGCCCCGAGTGGCTACAAGCACTTAACAAATGTGTGAAGGTGACATGATCAGGCTCCACACCTTCTTTAAGCATGTTTTCAAAGAGCTTCATTGCTTCTCTCCCGTACCCATGCACAGCATAGGCTGCAAGCATAGCAGTCCAAGCTACTTTGTCTGGATTATTTATTTCCCCGAAAATCTTAAGCGAGTAATTAAGTCTCCCCAACTTTGCATACAAATCCAGCAGTCCGGTTGCAATTGTGACAATTTCATTGAGACCACATTTCATAATCATACCATGGATGCACTCGGAGAGTTTCCGCAAACCTAAATTCTCACAAGCTTGAAGCAAGGACACCACAGTGCCATCATCCGGATCAATTCCAGACCTTCTCATGAGATTAAAATAAGCTACTCCATCTGCTGCACTCCGATTCTCAGTGTGAATCGCAATCATTAAATTCCATGATACAACATTTGCTATCGGCATTGTCTCAACCAGTCGAAAAACTTCATCCAAAGAGCCTGACTTTCCATAGAAATTAATCAAAGAATTGACAAGCTTAACTTCCCACAGCACACCCAACTTGAATGCAGAGCCGTGAATGTACATTCCTTCAACAACAGCTCCCCTACTAGCACAAGCGGAGATTATAGACATAAGTGTAACCTCATTGGGTTGTATTCCCATTTCAAACTTCATCCTAAAAAATGCATTCAAGCATTTATCCACATACCCTCTTCGCGAAAACCCAGAAATCAAAGAATTCCAGGAGACCAAGTCCTTATGGGGCAATTCATCGAACAGGTTCCGTGCATCATCTGCACGGCCCAAACTTGAATAACAAGAAACCAGCTGATCGCCAATGAACCCATCTCTATAATCCAACGATTTGACCACGCAGGCCTGAATTGCGCGGCAAAAGGAGACGGAAGTGCAGGACCTCAGAGAAAAAATTAGGGTTGAAAGAAAAGTGTCTGGATTCATCAACATATCCCATCATTTTTCATTCATTCATTCCTTTTGTGTATGCGTTGTTCCATCTGCCAAAACAAAAAGCGTGCTTCTCCTTTCATACATTAGCTTGCTCTGATTCTCACTACTTTTTGTTTGGCGCGTTTGGTATTACTTGGTTGTCTGAGAGAAATTGACAGTAAAGAAAAGGAAAAGGAAGAAAAGACGGGTTGTTTGAAAAGAAAAGGAACAGTGTCATCGCGACGCTGTTTGTCAATAATATAAATATGTATTTAGATTTTTGTATTTGTGATTTGATACTAGACGTCACGATACTTTGCCAGTAATTTCTGTTCATATGAGATTTGTAGTTTGGCACAAGATGTTACAATGACATTATACTCGTATTATGTAATTTTTTTTCGTTTAATTATTTGATTTAGGGTAAATTGTATATTTAAACCGGTGTATTGGACCTGGCCGAATAAAAAGAATTTTAAGGGTCAAATTGACTTGAACGACTTTGGTTCTCATTCAAATTTAAACTAGATCGATGTATGATGGTAACTTATACTCATGCTTTGGTATGAATATATCACCTACATTGATTCATTAAACATTAGTCAAGCCATATTTGTATTTTTATTGGGTTTGTTTTTAAGTGTATTTTCATCACTTCAAGATTTTTATAAGACTTGAGGTATTTATCTTTTGTTTCCTTACAATTAGTACTCCAATTCATCTCAGCTTCTTAAAATCGTGAATATATACATAAAAATGAGCTAATACATATAACATATGATGCGTTTTATTACAACTTCTACATGTAAATTGATAATTTGGTACAGCCAATACTATTGCCAAAAATACTTAAATTCTAATCAAATGTTGAAAAAAAAAAAATTAAGCAAATGATCTCTTTAAAAATAAAAAATTTCAAACCATGGAAAATAGAAAAGCATAATTTATCCTCACCAAAAAAAAAAAAAAAAAAAAGGAAAAAAAAAATGTAAGCTGTCAAACATAACAAGGCTCGTTTGAACATAACAAAGCTCGTCTGCAGATGGTGTTAGCAATTTCACCTCCTCTCCTTCGTTGTTAAAGACAAAAGTAACACACAAGGAACCAGGCCTCCCTCCCTCCCCAAATTAATCAGACTGCAAAACCCTAATTTCCGTTTCCCATTTGCTAATCCGTATAATTAGGGTTTGCAAAGCTACCACGCTTGATTGCCGCAATTTCTACCCCAAAGCTCAAGGTTAGGGTTTTTCTTCCTTATCTCTGAGCCTGTGATCACGCTTTTATGTTATTTGATTCCAAGTTGTAAATTACTTATCTTTTTGCTTCAATTTGGTTCAATATGATCGCAATTTTGGTTGATTGATTTATATTTTTCATTGTTTTGGTTATCTTTAGCTGTGAATCTTATAAGTTCAGCTGGAAATTGGATTCATTTGTGTGGGATTTTTTAATTAATTTGTTTAAATTTTAAATAATTGGGGAAGAAAAAAAAAACTATTGAGATATTAGACGATTGTTCTGGATTTTTCTTTCTGTTGTAAAGCAGAACAAGGTAAGGAACATTAGCATCCCAGGGAAGAGAGTGCACGGAATATATTTTCTTTGGAGAAAAATATGTTGAACGGTAACGGTGAACATGTTATATGCGGCAATAGCATCCGGCTATCCGCGTTCTGAAGTCCTTTTGTATTGGAAGGGTGTGAAGAATAGTTATGTGATTATTTCTAATTTTTGTTTCTATCAGAAAGAGGCTGGTGTTTCAGCATAGTTACAGAAGTACAAACTACCTCTTTATTCTGATTTTTAGGGGCATTTTCTTGGTTATGGTATATAGTATAAAGTATTTGTAGAATGTACGATTGTCAGGATAGTATGGCCATATTTATTGATTGTGTCTCTATGACACAAATAAAACGTAATTCAGGAAAACAGTTATACGTCTTTTCGTATTTATCTTGTTTTCTCTTATTATGTGATAGGTTTGCTGCCGAAGGAAAATCTCTTATGGACATGCGCTGGTGAAAAGAAGGAGCTTGAATGGATAGAGAGAGTGAGATCAGAAGGAGCTGTTCCACTTCTTGATCCAGACAATTGTCGAAATGGTTGGGCTTCTCCACCTGGGGACAAGTTCTTAGTTAGAGGTCCTGACTACTTGTCAACCAGAGTTAAAGTTCCTGCTGGTGAATATCTTCTAAAGCCTCTTGGTTTCGATTGGATTAGAAGTTCGACAAAGATTGGGGAGGTCTTAAAACATCCAAACAGTCGTGTCAAGAAGGCTATTGAGGAGGAGTTCCCGACAGGTGATAAGCCTTTTGTTTGGGCTTTCAATCTTCAAGTTCCGAATAAGGATAATTACAGTGCTGTGGCGTATTTTACAACCAGAGAGCCTATTCCTGAGGGGTCCTTGATGGACCAGTTCTTGAAGGGAGATGATGGGTTTAGGAATTCAAGGCTTAAATTGATTGCCAACATTGTCAAGGGCCCTTGGATCGTGAGGAAAGCAGTTGGGGAGCAGGCCATATGCATAATTGGGCGTGCCCTTTCTTGTTATTACTGTGCATCAGATAGTTTCTTAGAAGTAGACGTGGATATTGGGTCTTCCATGGTTGCAAGTGCAATAGTTCATCTGGCATTTGGTTATATCACAACTCTGACTGTTGACCTTGCATTTCTCATCGAGAGCCAAACTGAATCAGAGCTTCCAGAACAACTTTTAGGTGCTGTAAGATTCTCTGAACTAGACCCTGCGGTGGCAAGGCCAACTGAACCATATCTTGGTAGGAGTACTGGCAGTTTGCAGTCTAATCTGCCTACACGGTTATGGAAGTCAATTGGACAAGGATTTTCCAACATGCTTCATTCAGGTGACCATGAAAATGGATCTAGCTCGGGTTCAGCACATGTTAATGGGATTGGAGATAATGAAAACAGCTTAAAAAATGGTAAGTTCTTCTGACCAGTGGTCACATTTGAGCTTCCCCGCCCCCCCTTTTTGCACATGTGGAGTTTCTGTTGTGGAGGAAATGTAATCAGAATGGTTCCTCAAGAAACTTCCATACGAATCCAGAGAAAGTTATAATCTTTTTTCTTGCATGCAGCTTAAATTGCTTTTTTTTCTTTTTCTTTCGTTTATCCCTCTGTTGTTTTCCCTGTTTCTTGGTTCTATCATTAGGAAGTTCTGCAGGTTGGAATGTGTAATCGTACTGAGGCCTGTCCAGTGCACTGTCTTCACCTTTTGTCCCATATGCTCCTTTATTGTGAACAAACAATAAACTATTTCGTTGTCGATGTCTGAACCAATGTTGCTAGTAATTAGGATCTAATTTCTGATGGCATTATGCAAAAGAAGAAATCCTATGACATCATTTATTTGCTTGTGGTCAAATGATACTCTTGACAGAATGACAATGTATCCATGAATGCTGTTTGAACTCGGATTTAAGCCTTTGAATAGAAACTCCTTTTAAAGTTGCACAAAAATATAGACAAAACCTTTCTTTTTCCTTTTGTGGGTGTAATGTTTTGTTTATGTTGTTATATTCAGTTGTTCAGGACCAGGCTAAAGATTTTGGTGTTTACATGTCTAACAAAACACAGCCATAGTAACATTTTGTGGATCTTTTTGATCAAGTACACTTATATTATTTCGCACTTTGATTGCATCTATTTTGATGTATGAGTGGACATGGTTATACTTGCAGATAGTCAAGTGAAATGTGATGGCGACAAAACAAAGTGATTCGAATTTGTTGAAGCATCACAGATCAAACTTGTCAATATGGATTGCCTCACTTGTGTCTTCTGCTTGTCTCTGATTATCCGGCGCTATGGAGTAGGAGGCCTTGGGGTAGGCACTGAGCCCTAATTCCAGTTGGCAAGATATTCACATTATCAACATTTTAATTTATGTAGGTACAATTCTTTTGTTCATTTGATATTTAAACGAGTGTGTATAGAATAGCGTCGCCCTGTGTAAAAAGCTATAGCGGTACCCTGGTACCTATCAAGATTCCACGAATTATCCCCCGATGATGGCACTTTTTAACGTTTGCAACACTTGTTTCCCCAGTTAAAATGTTTCTAACATTTTATTCATGAAAAATTTGGATTCCGAAACCGTTGGATTTCTTGTGTTTAAACATTGCTTGAGGATCCTTGAAAGGTCTGGTGCAGTGCTCGAGAGGATTTCGAAAGGTCTCGAGCACTTACACAGGTGCTTTACAACAAAGCACTGGTTGAGGATACAAGGCGTAGCTCGAACCAAAGAAAGGATATCGAGATATGCAACATTTCCACAAGATATGGAACCTCGCCTACCATCTGTTACTGAATTATTTTCCTTAACGCTTGTATCATACAATGAAAATGCTGCAACTCCACTGTCAATACGATTACACAATTTGTTTCCGATCAGTTTCTATGAGAAAAAAAAGTAGTAAAATTATACATTGTCTGCTCAACTTAACATTGTCAAGAGATCCAATAAATGATAATAAAAAAATTGCTTCACACAACTATGAACATTTACCATCACATATGCAGAGTAAGCAATAATCTGTCACTCTTTAGCGTCAAACCCGTAGCACCGGAGAATTTGTATCACCGCAGCATGCAGAGGTGAAATATTCGGCAAGTTCTGAGAATTAGCAGTTTCAAGTACGACTAGAGCTTGGTGGATTTAATTCTGAAGTAACTGGACTTTAAGTCAAGCTTGCATTTACAAATATATTACACAAGCTCAACGCCCGAAGCTGGTAATGCGTTCATTTGCAATGTTCTACCATGTCCTGATGCAATAAATCGTACGGCTGGCAACGAAGAATCAGTAACAGGTTCAATCTCAAGAAAACTGAAATCATATGCACTGGATCGCTTCAAACTGAACACAGTAACAAGCACAATCCATCCCAACATGGAAACCGCCCAGTAATTGTTCATCCCGTGAATTAAACCCCACGCAATAGCATACCCAACAATGATTCCAGATAAATGGCCAATAAAACTTGCTTGAGGAACGATGATTGAGGTAAAAATAAGTGACTCAAATGGTGCAAAACTAATGGGAAGTGAGAGAAATCCAAAAAGATGCAACTTTGACGTGGGTTGCTTCACCGAAAGAATTGTCATCCACCCAAAAACAACACATGAATACCCAACAGCCGTCACTCTCCGAAAATATTCAATCTTGAATTTCTGGATTAACAAATGGTAAATTCCCAAGACTAGCACTCCGGATAGAACAACCAAGACAAGCGTGTACTGCAGATAATATTCCACCCCGAGCCCTATGGGACCCAGCTTTTCTACTACCCCAAGACTCCAAAGGGCACTCATATTGAAAACAAGATGAATAATGCTTATATGAGAGAAAGCTGAAGTTATAATCCTCCAATGGTGCCCTGCAACCGCAGTTTCATAACTCAAGCCCACATGTGAATAGCCAATGTTTTTCTTCTGTATGTAGAACCAAATTGCACTGCATATTCCTATGAAACAACTTGTGGCTGGTTTGTCCAATATCTCAAAAACCAATGGCCTACCCATCTGTGCCAAACCCTAGTTCTCAAGGATGTTTTGAACACAACCTATACTATCCCAAGACCAAAACTGTAGCAAGCTGCAGAAGAATCAAGACCACTTTTGCACTACCAAACATGGCACGTATACAGCTCCTTCAAAGTTCATAAATCAAAGGGCTTCCTCAAAACCGCATAACTGTTTTGGAAACTCAGAAAACAGTTCGTAAGTTAAGAATTTACCCAGATCAAATACCTTCAATAAAATGTGATGATTCACAACACCCACCACCCAAAATGTGCACAAAACACCAACCCTAGAAATGGGAAGGGAACATTGGGATTCAATCCAAAATCACCTCTCTAACGAATTTAATAAGTTGAGGGATTAGGTTCCAGAAAGATAATTGAATCAGAGTAATTAGAGTTTTGCAGACATGGAACTTACTTATTCACAATTGTATAGGGAATGATAAAGGTCGAAAAAGACTGATTAGAACTATAAAATGTATGAAAATAATAAGGGAAAATGTGATATTGGGGAAATTTGTTTAGCAATGTAGTGAATGAAATCAATCTGGACTCAGAGAACAATCTAAAATTAGGGTTTTTGTGTTCCAGTCAGATCGAGAGTAACAGAAATAAACCGAGATCAACACATGAACGGACTTAAATTTGTAATTGCATAAAACCCCAAATCAGTGAAATACCTGAGTCAGAGTGAGACGGGGGCTGATGCTGTGCTGCGAAGATCTGTGGAGGAAGCAGATGGTTATGAATCAATTGAATCCTCAATGTTTTCTGGGAAACGCGGCTGCAATGTCGAGAGAGATGAGAAGGACGAAAGGAATGGGGGAGTTAATAGTGGTCGGCGCATTCCATGCGCGATGTGTAGAGTGTTCTCGTAGTAGTGTTGAAAGTGACGCAAAGGGAAAGGTATTAACTATTAAGCAAGGTTTTATTACAGGAACTTTAATGAAAAGTTCCGGTACTGTTTATTTTAACGAAAAATTATATTTTTATATTAAAAAGTAAATCTTATTACTTTTTATTTTATTTTTATCGTTAAAACTCTAATGCTTACAGGGGGTAATCACAAATATTATCAACGCATATACATATAGTCCCCTTAATTCCTCAAATAAGCTTATTTGAGAGACCTTAGGATGCTCATTCCTTAACATTTTTCGTAAAGATCCGTCTATATTTTAGTATATTATTCGTAAATCATCAAATGGTAAAAAATTAAACAAATTCAAAACTATTAAGATATCCAATTACAATGAAGTAAACAGATAAATACATTTTTCCAAAGACACAATATTATGACTATCATTTAATCCAACAGTTAAATGGTTTGGGATTTAGTTGTTTTTCGTCAAGATGATCTTTTATATAAGATCTAAAAGATTGACGATTGGATTGTTGACATACAATATGGAGTGTGCCTTACAAAGGATCCCTCAACTAAGGGGACTGTGTATACACACATTTGGGGAACAGATCCGGAGCACCATTTTTTTTGTTTTTAAATTTCCACTTCTTTTTTTCAAAAATTTTGACACACATTTTTGTGAGCCCATTGCGTATTATACTTTAACAATCCGAACTATCTATCGTTTAGAACATTATTCACAAAATCATCATTGTAAAAAAAAATATAAATCTAAAACAATTATGACATTCATTTATAATGAAGAATATGGTTCTAAAAAAATAAAAAAAAAAAAATCCTAAACTCCTCAACTAACAATCATATAGTTTCAATTTGGCTATTTGATAGGCATATATTAAGAATTGAATTCCGCAAAAAGGTATCGAAAATTGACAGAGCATAACAGAAAATAAACCTAAAACAAATACAAACCCAAAACAAGAAAGCAAAGTTGTAAAAGCCCCAAAGACCAACCCCAACACAGAAGCGTCGAAGTGGTATTCCTGTTTGTTTGTTCGTTTTTATTTGGTCAGCGCTCGCACTTGTTATTCTCTGCAGTCTCTGGGGTTCGGAACGATTGGTGAAGGTAAAGCTTGTATTTGTTCCCATCAATTTCCAGCAACTATTAGATGGGTTTAACTTTTACTGTCTTTATCTTCTGGGCATCCCCAGAAACCATTTTTGCCTTAAAAAACACAATGCTTGTTTGCTGCTGTGCCACCTCCCTTCAATTCATTTTCAAGTTCGCTTCTTGGTCGGGGTTTTCAGTTTTCAACATCCTTTTGTATTTATTTCATCTTCCAAAACCAGAGCTTTCCCCTTTCTCACCTTGGTAATTTGGTAGTTGACTTCATACTTGTAACTTGTATGAATCGTAATTGATTGAGAAGGATTTGACTTAATATTCGTGCCCCTGAATATTTGTAATAGCTTATAGTTCACATCAGAATTTATAGTGATTCAGTTTTCATTTATTTTAATTCAAAGTTTAAGTGTTGCGTAGTTTTTGGTTCAGGGTTGGGAATGGGATAATCAAATGATATCTAGAGTCACCTGTATATGTTTAATCTTCAACATGTGCGCTTTCGATCATCGTTATGTCTTGGAATCTTATAGTGTTCGGAGGTGGTATGATTCAAAACCTGACTTGAGAGAAAACCAATTTGAGTTTGAGTTTGTATCTCAATTTTGTTGCGTGCAAGATTTAGTTAAAGTGAGGTTTCTGATTGTTTGTTTGTTATTTTTTCATGAATTTGTTTTCTAGGTGAAAATTGACAACGTAATGCTCCTCTTCTATTACTCTCTCTCTCTCGAAGTTGAATAAGGTTACTGCAAAATGTCTACATACAATAGCTTCTTTTTTTTTTATTTTTTCTTTTTTTTATGTTTGATATTGGTTTTGCTTGCTTTGTGGGATGATGCCTGCTAACTGGCATCATTGTGCTCACATGTGAGAACTATTGGTTTTAAAATGCTAGGAAAACACGGAAGGCCTGTGTGAATTGAGGTAGTTGATTTGATGGATTTGAATTTGGTGAGCCAAATCCAAATCCTTGTATTTGGGCAACTGATACTCTATAGCGCAAGAATTTTTTTCTCAACTTTCAATGCCAATTGGTTTTTAGCTGTTGGGTTTCTAACAGGCGGAGTGGGGTTATTACTAGCAGTTACATGAAAACTCAATGGTTGGGTTCTTGTGGAGGACGTGGATATCCTAGAAACGTCATCACTTTAGGCATAGGTTATCCCAAATCTAACTAAAACTTTCAAAACCAAAAGATCAGATTTTGAAATTAACTTATTAAACTAGTTACATCACAAATCACTGCGCACTAGCCCTCTCCAACTCATCCTCTATCTCTCTTGCCTCCCGCTTCCTCCATAGACAATCTGTATGCAGCTCAGCTGGTGATGGAGGCTCTATCTCCGCCATTGATCCACGATGCATCTGACAGTTTGGTTTATCTGACTCCGTCGAAAATACCGCTAGAGGACAGAGGGCTTCGCTTTGAGAGAATGGAGGACGGGGTGTTTTGGTTTTCACTTCGAGTCAGTTGATCCAATACGTCTGTGGAGCAATATATGTTGACTTTCTATACAAATTTGAAAGTTGTTTTTTGCTTTGGTGTGTTTAGGTAACTTTCTTGTTGTTTTCTATAGTTTTAACAAGTATCAGTAATATTTTAAATTTCTTGGCTTTAAACATTTCATCACAAAACCATATGCTTTCATATTTATGAATAGTTTTGTTCTTCAGCAGGACAAGCTGCATAAAACATGGAAAAGTTTGTGGCATTTGTTAAAAGTGTAATTTTTAAGGGATTTGTTTCTATCTGAATATGTTTTGCTCCTGGATGAGTTAGAAGTTTCTTGTGGCTTTAATGATTAGAAATGTAGCTATTCACACCAAGGCACAAAAGCTACATGCGATATAAATAAAATTGGTAGACGCTACTTCTTCTTCTTTTTCTTCTTCCGGTACCTTCGCAGGTTATGGCAGACGCGATTGTTTGAAGAATTGATCCTTGTGCTCCCGCTTACTATTTCTTTTTTGTCGTCATTGTCATTCTCTTACAGTTGGTCGTTATTGCCATCTCTCTGCTCGCCGTTGATTTTTCCTGTGACGCTCTGCTTTCAAACCCAAGAATTTGGGGGTTTTTCGTCGCAGCTTGCTGGATCTTTTTGAATTTCCAGTTGCTTCATTTTTCAATTTGCATTGTAGCTCTGGTTTGTTGTTTTGGTTGCTGCTCTGTTGGTTATTTTCTGGCCTGGTAATCACTTCAAAGCCTAGTTTTTGTGGGTTTTCTATATACTGCTGCATCATTGCTGAGATTGTTGATTTCTATCATGGATTCTATCACATCTGTGTGGCTTGTCGTTGTTGATTCAGTGGTTTTGATTCTCTGTTTCTATAGCTTTCTTAAAACTGAAGCTATCTGCTTTCTCTGTGGTTGTGCACAATGGTTACTGCTAATCAATTAGCCCTTACTCAGTCTCCAGTTTCATCTTTAATTGCAATTGTGGGTAATACTGTTACTGTGAAATGGGATGACTCGAATTATGTCACTTGGAATTTCGAAATGGACCTTTTGTTGGAGGGAAATGGAATAATGGGGTTTATTATGGATCTATTCCCCGTTCTGATAAATTTTCTCAAGTTGTATGTGATGATAGTATTATTGACAATGCTGCTGTGATTTCTAATCAGTGCTACTTTGTCTCCTTCTGCACTTTCATGCATCATTGGTTGTCATAATTCTCGGGAAATGTGGATTACTCTTAGAGAACGATTTGCTAATGTCACTAGAACTATTATTAGAAAGAGCTGTTATTGCCATTATGGCAATGGCGAGGATTTAGTCATCTTGAATTGTAAGTCTAATATTTCAATTATATGTTCTCAAATTCTGGGGGTAAAATTTGCTTATTCCAGATCTCAAAGAAACAGTTGTGGAGTAGTTGTCTGACCAACGAGAAAACGATTGTGAGAATTGTAGTCATGCTAGACTTTGTGAGGTCAAATCTATATGATTGTATGACTGATATTGGAATTGTTTAATTGCATTAGTTATTTACCACGTATCCTTGGCAGTCATAATATGTTGGTGGTTTTTTTTTTTTTTTGATAAGCATGATAGAAGTTAGTTTTTTGTGCTGATTTCCATATCATTGCTCCATCAATTTTATTATGTTTTGGTGTCTTAAAACTGAAGATGTTATTGTTGCAGCCAACATGTTTCACAACAACTAATTCACGGAGCAGGGTATTCTACTATTGATTCCAAACAAGAAGAGATGAAGACGGCAACCACAGACTCTACAAGTAAAGGGATCGAGGGTTCATCTGTTAATATAAAGGTGCTGTTCTTTGCCAGGGCTCGTGACCTAACTGGCTTGAGTGATACACAACTGGAGGTGTCGTCTGGTAGTACTGCACTTGATTGTTTAGATAAGCTCATCACCATGTTTCCAAACTTGTCAGAGATCCGTGGGTGCATGGTGCTTGCTCTTAATGAGGCGTACACGGCTGATTCTGCTGTCGTTAAAGACAAGGATGAGTTGGCCATAATACCTCCAATAAGTGGTGGCTAAAGGCATCTCATATACCAAGAACTCTAAGGATATCCATGTATTCTAAACCTTGAATAGTAATAAAAAATTGTTCATAGCTTTCGTTGAGCTCATATGCATGCAAGTAACTGCAAGTATATCCACGAAGCCGAAAATCTTGGATATCATTTTTGATAGGTGAAACCCTTGCGTTATTGTCGACATTTGGTAGCCAATAAAGGAGAGCATAAGCAGATTATCTTAAGTTCTTGGATGTATGATGTTTTGATGTATGTGTACAAAACAGTAGCACCAAATAAATTATCTGCTCGCTTTCTACATACGCAGATGCATTTGCTAAGGCTGCAGCAGTTGTGCCTAATAATTTGATGACCAGAGTTTACGTTTTAAACGTCAACTGAAATGTTCTACCACTCTACACTGTCACGTGGGACATCGGATAAATGTTATAATTTTCTCCAGTTTGTATACCATTAATATATCATAACGGTATTGCTCCTAAAGAAATTAAGCAGAAGATTATTAACCGCATAAAAAAATATTATCATTTTTTCTTTGAAAAGAATATATTCATAATGGGCATTCAATGTCCTATTCTTATAACATAAAAAACCGAAATAGAAATGAATTGTAAGGCAGGAAAATATTTGGAAGCCAAATAAAGGTTCCAGGATAGAAATAGTAGATAATATTTTCGTTAATCCAATTGAACGATATTCCAAATATAAATAATCTATGTTTGGTAACATGGTAAACCACTAGTCAAATAATCATTTATTTATATACTTCACCACTATCCTACTAACATAGAGAATTACTGATAATCCACAAGCGGCTTGTACTTGAGTTGGTTTAGATAATTTCTCTCCTGCATACGAAGTCCCGAGTTCCATTCCTCCCTTCCGGCATCGCTTGTATCAAAAAGGAGATTTCTGACAACCTAACTTCAACATGGCAGAGAGCAAAGTAATTGTGTTGAAAGTATTAATGCATTGTGAAGGATGCCAAAGTCAGGTTTCCAAATGTTTGAAAAGTTTTGAAGGTAAAAATTCTTGCACAAATATCTCAGTTTTTTACTGTGCATCTTCCCCATACTACATATGATGAACTTGCAGAAATAATATTTGCAAATTTTCTCTTGGCTGGTTAGGCGTTGAGGAAGTTGTGGTTGATTACCCAAATCATAAAGTGACAGTAAAGGGGAAGAACGCCGACCCTCTAAAGGTTTTGGAGAGACTACAAAACAAGTTTAGTAGAAATGCTCAACTCATATCTCCAATACCAAAACCACAAAACCAAGAGCAAAAAGAGCCCAAAAAGAAAGAAGCGGTATCTTTTTTATTCGAGTGATATTCTAATTAATCTAATCTAAACTACAGAGAGGAGCATTCAGTTTTTTACATCGACATATTCATTTGCTCTTGTCAACCGTTATCTTACTTGTTTTGGTTTCGGAAATGTAGGCTCCGCCTGAGGTTAAAGTTGTGGTGCTCAAAACGTTGATGCATTGTGAAGGATGTGCAATTGATATCAAGAAATACTTGGAGAAAATGAAAGGTAAATCCCTATTGCGGAGGATGTGCAATTGCTAATTCGTGTTATGTATCATCAAAATTTGAAATTGTTCGTTTAAGCCGTTTAATCTAAATAGATAATTCTTCTCTACAACATGTTCTTAATTCGGGACCAGAATTTTCATTTCTCTTGTTGTATATAGAAAACAAGATCTTAGTAATGGACGAGAATGAAACACATGGAGAAACGAGTTTAGGGATCAATTAACTTGCTCGGTTTTTTTGGGGCATATTTTAGGTGTTCTAAGTGTGGAAGCGAACATGGAAAGGTCGACGGTGAGAGTGAGGGGAATAGTTGAAGAAGCAAAGCTGGTAAAGTACTTAAAGAAGGAATTAGGGAAGCATGCTGAGATAGTGAAGCAAGAACAAGATGAGAAGAAAGAGCAAGGCAAGGACAGCGGTAGCAACAATTACAGAAGCCGAGGAGGAGGAGGAGGAGGAGAATGTGTATTCCAATATCCACCTCAATATTCAGCTCAACACATTTACCCTTGTCAAACATTTAGTGATGAAAATCCTTATGCATGTTCCATAATGTAAAAAGCAATTTAAGATTGTAATTGTAGCTCTTTCCTCCTTCCATGGTGCACAAAATCTTTTCGGATGCTTTCAGTTTTTGGTTTGTCCATAGCAATAAATGTCACAACAATAATAAATGATTAAACGGTTTCGGTAATCATAAGATTCATTTGCACAGATGGCTCAAACGAGTGATTAATGCCGTATTAACTTGCTAACAAGTTGACCCAAAACAAAAAACTTGAGAGAAGGATTGGTGTAATTAGTAGGAATTCTGGGTAGGTTGGGCTGTTATATCATATTAACGAGGTTCTAAAAGACGCTAGATGCTAGTCGGACGGCGGGCTGGGACCTAGCGCATAGGTGGCTAGGCGGATTTAAATAAATCTATTGTATTTTGTGTAAATAAATGTCTGTTTATACTTAAAATATATATAATGTGTGTGTTATTTAAGTGTTCAATAAATCTCTTACAATTTATTGAAAACAATAAAATGCAAAAGGAAAGTTATATATTTTTAATCTAAGTGAGTTACAACCTAGACAAGTGTTTAGGCGGGTCTGGACGAGCTAGATGGGTGCCTAGGCAGTCTAGGAAGGTACCTAGGTGGTCTAGGCAGGCGCCTTAACAAGTCTAGGTGCCCTTTCTTAATTTTCAAATGCCTAAACATTAATCGAAACGGTAGTCAACCGCCTAAAGCCTATGCGGTGCTAGGCGGGAATTTTTAGAACAGTGCATATTAACACATTTACATTCTGCATTTTCCAAGTTCCGGGCATGAAAAGCACGCCGAGAATTCAGATAAAACGATAAAGCATGCTACACAACAGGGAAACGAAGAGTAACGATCGATACCGAGTGGAAATCTTTGTCTGCATTTTACAGATAATTCTTAACTTTATAGTAAATACATAACAGCCACAATCGTTTTGATACAAACCAAGCCAAAACAACGTAGTACTTTTAGCACGGTCATGGACAAAGTACTTTCTTTTTCTATATACTTCACAGGAAGAATTTTTCTATCTCAAACCCATTACAGGCCATGGATTTATTCCAGCTGCTGGCAGCGAAGGTCGCATTATAGGAACTCGCTTCACCACTGAAAATGCTTCATTGAGACGCACAGCACGGCTCATGAACTGAGAAACCTTCTGTAAATATCGCTCAGTTAGATATCCCAGGTTGGCCACCTCAACATATATCTCAAAACATAAAAGCAAAGCTCACATTTGTAAGACCACGTGCATAAATGCCACCACAAAAGAATCATTTTTCTTACAACAAGACCCGCTTGAGCTAGAGCTCATTGCCCAAGACAAAATAATTTGAAGAATAAGTAATCAAGATCAAAGATTCACAAATGTGCCCTTTGTTGCGAGAAAAAAAAAAGGTTTAGAATACCTCAAGTGTCCACGATGATTTATTCTATAGCAACCTATCTTCGGATTCGTGATCTCTTGAATATGTTGAAATAACCATTAAAAGGTAACCTTTCACCTTTATGCTAAATTGAAAGTATAAAATAAACTGATAGACTTCATTAAGGATCCATTTTGTTTCTAGTTGTGTTTCCATGCATAACTTTCTAACTGTCATATATTGCAAGCTTTCACAAGTTCTTAAAAGCTATCAGTTCTCTCGGTCCATAAATTTTTAAAAAGTACTAGATTGACTGATCTCTGAGCCTAAAGTTTCTTTCCACTTCAAAGCAGCGGTAAACACAAAAAAAATGCAGATACATGAGCATTAAGTTGCATTGAGGGAAAAAGTAGTAGATAGAGGCTGAAGCAAATAGGTGGAACTAAAACCAGTGTAGTAGCATCAGCATAGGTCTTAGGATAGTCAACTTGCAGGGTATTAGTTTCTCTTCTTCGGATCTATGTTTTGTTATGAGGAAAGGATAAGAGAATTAGTTTTTCAATGACAGAGATTGGGGTATCACCTTTGTGTATAGTTCTCAGCTTCCAAAAATGTTTGCCATCAAAATGTTGTTTGTTTGTATAAGTTTGACTATTTCTTCACCTCAATTTAAACTTTGATATTTAACTTTTATAGTGATCAAATATCCACCGTTTCTCATCCAAAGAAACGAGAAAAAGGGTGATACCAGTAGGTTATAATCTATCAAATAACGGAGGAAGGTGAATAAAACGGGATTTTTACATTCCTTTGCACCAGAAAATGTCGAGAAAAAACAAAACAGAGTGCAAAAAGTACTCCCAAATGATTATTTATCTTTAAGAGAAGTAGTCAAGATTGGAAAGTAGAAAAGAAAGATATGAAATGGTAGCATTAAAATTTTGCTTACACAAGTCGCTAAATGACAAAAAACAATCAGAATGATTCCTATCGCACTTGGGTAGGTTCCTTTTAACGAGTCATTGTTTTGCTACAAGAGGACCTAGGAATACAAAGAGTTTGATATAACTGGTTTCAAGAAAGCTTCGTATTTCAACTTTTGAACTTTCCAAATAAATAACAAACACTAGTGCATGAAAACAGATGCAAAAAGATGGTTTAAAACTTTTGATTGACAGCCATAAAGTACAGACCACAGTGTAATCTCAATGCCGGCATACTTAACAAATTGCAATAACATGAATTGAAAAACCATGATCACTAAATTAACCAATAATAAATTGCAATAACTGACCTTATCATCCAGAGTAACCTTGAGCTGCAAGCTTTGGCTCTTTCGCTTCATCTTGTGCAATCTCCGCCCCAAGAGCACTAAACCCATTACCGCTGCAGCCACAGACAAGGACCAAACAGGGCTTACCCTGAAAACACAATACTTCAAGACCTCAAATGGGACCTTCCACCACAGGATTGTCCTCTTCACTACCTCTTCACCGGATTTCGCCTCTGATTTCTCCTCTTCAACTGCACTACTTCGACTCTCAACCGATTGTCCTTCTTCTGGCTCATTCTCCAAGTTAATTGCACATTCCAAGCCACTAAAGCCTATCTCGCTTTCCATCGCAACCTTCTCATATTTCAGCAGAAACCAGACTGTCGCCGCCTGAATCAGACCAGAACTTACCCAAATCCTTATCAAGACTTCCGTTTTCCCCAATTTCTTCAATGCTCACTCGGCCCTGAGCATCCAACCCACTAACTTTCTCATCCACAGCTTCCATTTCTCCAGCCCTTCCACAACCCACATGGACCTTCTCACTCTCCACAAAACCCAATTCTTTTTTCCCCTCAAAATCATAACTTTTTCGGTCATCGGACCGATCACTTGCCGAATCGGACCAAAACCCACCCGATTCTTTTCCACCATACTGAGTCACGGAACCCGGCTCAATCCAACTGGGGTTGTCGGACTCAACCGAACCGTCTTCGCTGACATCAATCACCGCCTTACCATACCCCAACTTCCCATGATTATCCAGGGAGAAGTAATCAGGCCTGATCATACCTTCGGCGTGCACATCGATTCCCTCGAAGCTCCTAGGGCTATCAATCGAGTCGTCTGAGTTAACCAGGGTAGGGTCCGAGCTGTTTAGCACCTCCCAGTCCTGCAACTCACCAACTTCTCCTCGTCCTCCGTCCATGGCGGGAATTGATTGGCGGGTATTCGGAACCGGAGGAAATGATAGAAACTCAATAGAACAGTATCAAATTAACAAACCCTAACCCAAAATCTAAATAGAGTAAGCCATACCCTGACCGTGACCAAAGGGAAATGAGGTTTCTTTTCCTTTTTGGGGTGTTGGATTGGCAACGAAAAGCAAAGACAGAGTGTTTTTATTCGTAAACCACACACAAATACAGGTACCCTTTTATTCCCAATTCCCACAGATTACACCCTCCTCCTTATTTTGATATTTTGAGCAGAGCGATGATGATTGACGAGGACTAAGATTCACCCGTTGTTGAAGCTGGGCCGCCTGTGGTGTTGGAAGAATCGGGATAACACAAAAGATAAAAGCAAGAGGTCAAGTTCGTAAATTTCAATACTTTTTGGGAGCTTTGACTTGTGGAATCTTGCCACGTCATGGGTAAAGTGGGATGACGAGTGGTGGAACATTGGCTCTCTTTAGAATAAAATGACTTATACGGACACGGGTGTACTGTTATAGTGCCGTTTCGTGTTACTCGTGTTATTGGAATAGAGAAATAAGTTTTTACAAGCATTTCATTGATACTAAAACATTACGTGCGGCGTATCCGTGTTGTAAATTGTAGGGGAGAATTTTGAGATGTCCTTTTCTTGACGGAGTAGGTGTGGGAGGAATTGAAATTGGGGGATTGTTGGAAGAAAGGAAGGAGTCGGCTCCAAGACAACCCCACACCACCGATTTTTCTTCGGTCCAACCACGGTACCTATTCATGGCTGTTGGATTTAAGTGGGTTTTGGTACCTTGATGGCCTGCTGGGGTCTCTCTGAGACAGACCAATTAGGATTGGACGATCGTGTGCTTATTTTCTTGACGAATGTATCTGTGGTGGTCTGTCACTTGGAGTCTCGCATCACATCCCAAATAGATTCTTGTTCTTTTATTTTTTTCGGCGACAATTGAGAATAATAATCAACAATGGATGCGCCGACTTGTTAGATGGTATGAGCGGTTGGGATTTGGATGGAAAATCGATTGGGAATTAAGAATTTGTAAGGCAAGAGTACATTATTATAAAGACTTTTGTGTTGGTTATATGAATAATATATATATATATATATGTGTGTTGATTTTTCATACGTACTTTTATATTATTAGAATAAAACACTATTATGACAATTTATTCATGCCATACAAGTTGGTATCAGAAATTAAACCCAACTTCACTCATTTGACCCACTTTTTCTCCAGTTCAAATACCACAGGTTTTGATTTTGCTGGTTTAAATTAGAAAGATTGGAGCTAGGGAAGCTATTCATTGACAGTAGGTTCTAAAGCAACAGAGAGTGTCACAATTCCAAGAGAGACGCCAAAACCTTGAACCTGCTTTCTACCTACTGTTTCTCTAAGGTTGTAGTAATGTCCACCACCAGCAAATTTTTACTGCAGAAATTAAGCAATCATAATAGATGCTTCAGCAATTGCTGCCCTCTTGTCTTAAGTTTATACAAGATTCCTAAATGAATCGTAGAAACGTACCAAATTGTCTAAAACACTTGCGGCCTTCTCCTACACCTAACAAACGTACCAATTGTATGTCTCATTTGTGTCTCTTTACTAATTTTTTGACACGTATCTCTCTACTTAAAAGAGACACAAATAAAACATGTAATTAAGTACAGTAGACCCTTGGCCCGAGTAGCAAACTTGGGTTCCAGGTCGTACATTTAGGATACCATTGATTCAAATAATTAATTATGTAGCGAAACTAAACAAATAAATAATAAAGTTGGGCAATTTTTATTTGATATATTTTTTTAATGGGAACGATAATTTCATTTCATCCCTTGAACGAGAATTAATGACACACTGAATCTTGGAGATGGTCCCAATCCCGAATAACATCAAAAGGTTTCTCGTTCCAGACTTAATTACCAATTAACAAAGCAAAACAATCTAGACAGTGAGCAATCTTGTTGCAACAAAGTAAAACATGAACAAATTCTGCAAACTGTAACTGCGCAACCCACTCTTTGGCATCTTCGATGGATCGGAAAAGTCTCTCTCTCCGGCCAACAGAGGCCACCATCCACGATGCACCACTCTCCACAACAAAATCTCAAGTGATTTGAGGAGGGACAAAGCAATTTGTTTTTCTTCACCCAACATTATTTTCCCTACTTTTCTACGCTGAAATTTGTTGTTAATAATTACGAGCCTCCTTTCTTTCTGACCTTGGATCTGCATTGTACGCAAATCTAACACAAGTAAAATTCAAGGGATACTCTCCCGCACATTTATTAAATCTCAACGGTTCATACACGAAGAAAACATTGTCAAGGTGAGAAAAGCTCAACAACGCATCACTCAATTTGTTTGGGGGCAAATGGGGAGGTAAGCGTAAAACTCCGTCGAATTTGCTGTCAAAGTTTTCAAATTGAAATTTTGAATGCACAATTTCTTGAGGAAACGGTGATTTTGTATTATCAAGTTCAATCAGCAACATAGCGTCTTTAACAAAATACAGTTTCTAAAGCATACCCACACACGGTGTACCAAAACAAAACAAAAAGATGGATTAAAACTTAGGGTAATCTGGTTTGACATCTTTGGCGCCTTCAAACATTAAATTATGATGAACCCAGCCGTTTTTGAACTTCTTCCACAATTCTATCCCTAGAAATTGTGATTTCCTCGGCAGCTTCCATGTCTTTCAATCTCAGAGTCTTATCATTCCGCTCCCGTTCACCCTCAATTATCATCCAAGGGATCCTAGACTCCTTTGCTCGATCAAAGTGTTTCGTCACTCTTTTATTCACCAAGAATTCTGCTTTCACTTTTTCACCCCACAACTCGCTTGATAGCTCTGCTGCTCGTCCTAAATCATCCCCCAATATACTCACTAGGACTTCAGTCTTCGTTGCTCGTGTTCTCTGTATAGCAATAATAGCAATAAGATACAAAACAGATCAATGCCTCATACAAGGCTGCAAAACTTAACTACAAGGCAAGGTATAATGCCATGTGGCTCTCCAAGTTATTAACGAAAATATCAATTGACATTATCCCTAAAAGCTGGCATGTAGCTAGCCAAAAAGTCATATACTTAGACGGACAAATATATATAACAAGAAGCCTTAGAATCACACAAGAATTCTTCCCCAAAAAAAGTCCTTTAGTGTTCTAGATATATTGTGACATTGGAAGCAACCAATCCAGAGTGTAGGAGGACACAATCAATATCGCAAGTCACAGAAACACAACATAGATACCTGGTAACATATGACAGATACATACCTATTTGCTCTTTTTTTTTTTTTTTTTTTTTTAAACACCCAACCCATCTACCAATGGCAATTCCTTGCTCTAAACTAAAACAGGATTCAAAGAAAAACACTAGGGATGCTGAACAAATGGAAAGATGGCTCTAGAATAACTAGATCTGGCACCAAAATAACGAGTTTTAGTTTCCTTGAAGCACCAATGTGAGAATACTGATTTTCCACTTTATTTCCTTTTAACCTTTGGGTTTATTTCAGCTTCAGTTTCTTTCTAGAAAAGGTAAAAAAGAAAGAGAGTTGAAGTTGTGGGTTAGTATAGGGAATGGATAAATTATTCTCTGAGTAAGCAGTCATCTGTGCACATCACATGATTAATTCAGTTAAATTCATCGATAGAAGTTTGGATTTGGATCAACCAACCAAAATTCAGGAACCAAAATGACATTATATAAAGTTGAGGGACTAAACTAAGATATGGACCAGCGCTAGGAAGGCATAGTGCAACTTAACCAAAGAAATGTATAACCTACTGAATTTATAGTTCATAAAATTTTGTTCTATTAATTACCCACTTGGGGGAATAGGATTTGAAGTGCTGTCACTACCAATCAGATTATAACCCAACAATAACATTCACCCAGAACACAAGTATACTATTAATCGACAAATGCACAGAAACATGTGAATTGTCACCTGATTTTGGTCTTTGTTAAGCTGCTCCATTATATTAAATACTCGTTCAATTCCAAGGCTCACACCAACAGCTGGAACCGGCTTTGTACCAAACATCCCTATAAGGTTGTCATAGCGTCCACCACCACCAATTGAACCAACCTGATAACAAGATAATATAGGTTGAAACACATAAGTCAAGGTGAGGAAGAAAAGGGAATACGCCATTTATTATTACTTGCACAGTTCATCTGAATTGAAATTTTGGAAAAATGTCACTGAAAGATTATACAAGGCAAATGAGACGTGTTATGCAAACAGCAATAACACACAAATGAATGAAAAAGAATTTCACTACAGCATTTACATAATTTTACCTGGGCACCCCCCTTAAAAACAGCTTCAAATATTACTCCAGTATAATAATTGAGACCCCTTGCAAGACTTAAGTCAAAAGCCACTTTTCCTATGCACTTTGATTTTTCCAAAGCATTGAATAATATCCCCAGATCATTCAATGCATCTACCGATGAAATGTTTTCTAAGAACTTGCTGCCTTCCTGTTTAAGCTTACTTAAAAGTTCCAGAGGATGTCCACGCTCTTTTACAAAAGCACCAATTTTGTCTGCTGTCTCAACACTTAAGCCCTTCTCTTCCACCTAAAAAAATTCAAAGATGCCAAATATAAAATTATATTCGGGTAAGAGAAAATAAGTCAATAATATGAAAAATGACATGAACCAAGACAAACAATAAAGGATAGAAATGAAAATGTATGCCCGACAATTACGGAGAAAAGCATGAAATACGGTTTATTCATAATTCGGGCAGACAAATGTTTTGCCATCCAGTTATTTGGAACTCAAAACCTACTTTTTAAAATCAATACCATTCAGTGTTTTGAGAGTGAACAATTAATTATCAATCAAACTTTTGGGTTGGTAGTTACAGGACCAAAAGCTTAACCTCATGGTGGAGACTTCAGCCATCCATCAGGCAATAATACAAATACAGATACTAACCAGGAAAACTTCCCAACTAGACAGCCATTCCTTTTAAGAAGCAGACACATTAGAACTATTATCATATTTCATTCACAACAAAGTCTTCCTCCTACTTGGTTTCAGCTAGCATTTCGTAAAATCAATCTTATGTAATAATCATTGTTCTGTTAAGTTATAAATGAGGAACATCCTCCTTTTATATATGGGATTACTACCAACTACTAGGGTCAGCTTGCTAAGTACTTCATAAGACAATATTATGCAGTAATTAATGTTCTGTTAAGTTTTTCATACTGAATTACAAATAAAAGCAAAGAGACTGGGATGAAATGTAACTCAAGCAAACACATGCAGAGCATAGAAACAAGCAAACCCAAGATACAGCAATGTAACTCAAGCATACACATGGGAAATCAGTTGCAATTTTTGAGTCTTTACCATTTCGTTTTTTATCTGCTCAAAAGACTGCTTGTCTAACTTGTCAATACTTGAACAAATAGTTCTGAATTTTTCAGGAGGCACTCCACAGATTTCCAACATTCCATCCAGCAACTTTCGGTGATTCAATTTAATCTGTATAATAAACAGTGACAAACAAATGTAAACTCAAGTTGAGCCTGAAAAAATTAGGCATACCAAAATAATTGCTCACATTATGATACAGATGCTACTAAACAAAATAACGTCCATTTTGTTTAAAGATTCAAAATGTTATGCACTTGTAGAATAATAATGCATGTAAGGAATCAACATCCATATTCCACAATTTTAGAGTTTAAGCCAGAAAAATAAGGCATAACAAAATAATTGCTCATATTATGACACAGATGCTACTAAACAAATAAACATCCATTTTGTTGAAGAATTCAAAATGTTATGCAGTTACAGAATAATCATACATGTAAGAAATCAACATACATATTCCACAATTTTATTAACCGAAAAAAAAAAAAAAAAAAAAAAAGGAAAAAGAAGAAGAAAATATTGTAGTTGAGCTCCTGCCAACTAATTTAAGCGCAGCATGTAAGATCAGTATAAACACAAATTTTACTGCAATGGACCAAGTTAGGATATCCTTGATTTTTAAAAATCATAAAAGTAAATAACTATAACTCCATTACGTCTCAGACATGATTTTACGTAAAAATCACACAGCTCAAGGATATACACATATGGAAGTGATCTACAATTAGGATGTAAAATGCAAGCAAACATGCAGTCAAAATTGATAGACTTTAAGACTTTAAGACATTATATAATGTTTTATCAATTAATCTATATCATATTTACATCTGTTAGAAGAAAAAAAAAAAAACACTTTACTATGAAACCATACAGCGGAATGAGCGGATGTGATCCTGGAATAATTTTACTTTTCTACCGAGCAAAATGAATTCCAAAACAACCAATTGGAAGTCTGAATATTAGCAGTGTAGGAAGCACTTCATGGAGAGTCTACATTACATTTAGGTAATATGTTACATTTGCTTCTTTTACAAGTTGACGACTCAAAGACTAAGTCAAATTCCATCTTTCCATAATTGCTCTACAACAAGATTGAAGGGTTTATTAAAGAATAGAATGAGTCTTGTTTCTGTATTCATACTAACATGAATCAAGACAGTGAGATGGACACTTTGCTTTTTACTTTTTCTATTGTTACCGTATTGATTGCATTTATGAAGTTTATTCCTCACCATGAACCAATATGCTTCACCCTCAAAAGAATTTCCAGTCATTTCCAATTTAACAAAAATTTGTACGCAATGACATAAACAGAGGGTAAAAATGAAAAGTTACCTCATAATCTCCAATGTTCAGCTCATCAAGAAGTTCTGTCAAAATCTTAATAACTTCGAAATCTGGACCCATTTTTTCAAATTGGCCAGCAATATCAAAGTCGCACTGGTAAAATTCACGATATCGTCCTTTGGACGGATTGTCTCTTCTGTAGACCTTTGCTATTTGGTATCTTTTGTAAGATGTGATACCATTCATAGCTACATATCTAGCAAATGGAACGGTTAGATCATATCGTAGTGATAAAAGCTCTCCTCCCTGAGGAAAAGATAAACACAAACCCCATTAGACATAAGTGATTATTTCAGTTTTATTGTCAAACTATAACAACATTGTAACATAGCTGCTAGGAACCTAAAAGAAGTAGTTATAAGGAAGAAACAGAAGAATATCAAGGCCCTTGTCAAATGATAATAGGCAATTCCCCGATTGATACATGAAACTATACCCGTCAGAAAAATACAACAATACCCATCAGAAAGTTTAAAAAGGATAAAATTACGAGCAAGATGCAACCAACACAAGGTGACACAAGGTCATCCCTATAGCCAATTCCTTAGGAAAACCACAAAAGAAAATCTAAGGAGTAGCTCCCTAGCTCATGCACATAAACCTAAAAGGCCTTTTGACGTAATATTTCATAGCCAAATTAAGAAACACTTCATGAAACTTAAAGAAAAATATATTTACAATGGTTAATTATATCAGCACAAAACTAGGTCAAAGCCTTGGACTCGACAGTCCAAATGCCTATCTGGAATGCTGTTCTTGGTTAGAATACTTCACGATTTTTCGAAATACTAAAAGATCACCCAAGAAATTCCGAGTACAAAAAGTGATCTTCGGCTAAAATAGAGCGAGTACTAAGAACCAAACTGAGTTAAGCTTTTATTCCCACCCCCTCTTCACACTGCATTTGTACGAGTCATGACAAGAAAAAACATAGAAATTAACTATGAAACATAAAAGCAAAACTCCACTTAAATTGACAACAGTTTAAATGGAGAAAGTACCTGGTCAGCAAGATCATAAATCAATTTCGAATCTTCCCCATATTTCCCCATCAGGGTTTCTCTCAATTCAAAAACTGGAGTGTCAAGGGCAGTGGCACCATGCCTCTGAAAGACCCCTACAATTATTGAGAATGCTTTCTCTCTTACTGCCATTTGCTCTTTTGAGAAGTCACGAGTACCCTAGGATTTGCAATAATATATACAAGGTTAGAATGCTAGTAAGTCCACTCATCACAACCCCATAAACAAAATCTCATAAAATCAGTTGAAAAAAAAGAACATAATCTGCAAAGGCAACTGCAACAGCATCCTGAGTATGGTTTCTTGAAGATGCATATTCACACAATTGTAAAAAGCTTTCAATTCTTTGCAAATGATCACGGATGACGGATTACAGATTCAAACTTCTCTTTGTATCGAACTACAAAGGTGCAATATCTTCTAAGAAAACTCACTTCTTTTCAAGGACAACACAAAGTAAGAGGTAGATAGTAATAACCACACATGGGTATCCTGACAAACACAAACACAGTTTCCCAAATAAAAAGGTAAAACAAAACGATAAGAAAAGAATGAAATTAATTTTCTACTACAAATCAATGAAATAATGTGGATTAGAGAAAATACGCCAGGACAGATGTGATATGTCATTAATGATCCACTGTTATCAAATATTGACATATCCCATAACAGCATAAGATATATGTGTACATCAATTACACAGATAGACAGGGACTAGTTATATATCCCTCTTGGGTTTTCAATTATTAAAATATGATGGACTAGTTAGATAGGATCATTGATTCTAGATTTCTCTACAAAAAAGTCAGATGTATCAAGTAAGAGAGCTAAGGAGCAGGATAAATGTATAGGTTATGGGTAATGTATAAATCAAATAGATGAGCGTAGACTGGTGTAAAAAATATTTAGCCCTGAGTTACTGATTGAAAACTTGATTCTCCATTAACATGTATTGAAATGCTACAGAACTGAATTGTTAACAACATTATTTCATAGATTTCTTACTTTATTAACCATCCAACATACATTCTGCAAACACTAGTTCAGGGATCAAGTAAACTTACGAGCCACAAACTAGTAATAGGTGAACAAACTGCATTAATTGTAGCTTAAGTAAGTATTATAATAATTTCAGTCCAGCCTACTCTGCTTCCTTCCCAACTAAGCACGTGTTTCCATTCTAAACTAAAGTGTGGTAAGCCAAATTCTTTTAAGAGAGATACTAATATGGACCATCTGGAAATAAAAGAAACACGGAAAAAAAAATTCTTGATAGGTTTCAAAAAACAAGATCCTATACTAATTTCAAAACCAATAACTAGCCACATATATAAAATTCAAAGTTGTAAAGGGTTAAAAATGATTGCTAACTTTTAAAAGTTTATGTTGATGTAAAAACTCGCTCTAAGAGTGCTTTTAAAGATGATTACTTAAACAACTTCACAATTAGGGGGTACAAGTAACGATCAACTTAGCAGAACTTTTGTCACTTTCAATTTCATCTTTTTTCATTATCCACAGCCACCAATCAAGTAACACATGAAAATCAATCCGTTAATCATCTTGAATCATATCTGATCAACTATACATTAGATTAAATGTCATGAGTACTGGAATCTTACCTTTGCAATCTTTGGGAGTCTTCTACTCTCATTGCTTTCCACTATCTCCTTCACTTTGCTCAAAAAACAATCAAATTCCGGGTTCTTGAGGTCAAAAAACAATAAAAACTCGTCCACCCAATTTACCAACAACCCCAAACTATCAACAGCATTTCCTCCCTTGCCCTGCAACCTATCTTTAATCAACTGTACTACAACACCAGTCCCTTTACCCAAAACCACCTTCTTCTTCTTCTTCTCACTCCTCTTGTCCACTTTCACATCCCCTCCTCCATTCACTTCACTACCTTCACTCTTGTTCAACTCAGCTCCCTCAAGCGCCACAAATGCCATTAATGCCTCCCAAGTCACAATCTTCCACACAATTCCCATCAACACATTCACTTCGCAAGCAAACTTATCATAATTCTCTTCCGCCTCAGAACTCAATTGGGAAACCAAGTTGTACCCACTTCTCAAGCTTTCGCTACTTGGGCATTTCTTCTCAAACAATGCGACCAAACTTGACCTTAAATCCTCACTCCCCACCTCATCCACAATCATCTTCACACGGGACAAACTACGGTCACCCAAGTGATAAAGCGCCAAAGCCACTGACAACAAAGCGGTCCCCACTGTCCAGAGACTATCTACCTCCCCGCCAGAATTCAGCACCGTTCGAGTCGTGGAGTGCACAGATTTCACTTGCTCTCTCAATTTCGCGTGAATTTGGGGGATTCCCAACACCGCTCCAATTTGAAGCTTACCCACTAACTTAGACCCATTGAGCAAGACCTTCAAATCACTGGCCACCGCAATCACCTCTTTCGAGGCATACCCATCCCCTGAATCCATCGAATTAAATGCCGTTATGTCGGCCTTCAAAGCCTCGCAAGAAATCGCCGCCACTGCATCGGAAAAAGTAGACAAAGTGGCGGACTGGTGGTCCAGAAGCGCACATATCGCGCACACAGCAGAGGATAACTTGAGTTCCTCCAACGCAAGAGCCTCCTCTTCGGTCAAATCGAGCGATCCGAGCTCCAAGCCTGGGGAACTGAGGGTTCTGGCGATTCGAACAGGAAGATCACTACGGATGTTGGGGGAACCGGCGAGAAAGAGGAGCTTGCTGAGAAGGACGACGAGGGAGGCTCTGGATTCTACAACGGTTAGGAGGGAGGGGAGGAAAGAGAAGAGGTTGTGGGCGTTGAGAGGCGACGAGGAGGAGGCGAACCGATTGAGCACCGACGAGTCGATGCGAGGCTTAGCGAGGCCTTCGGCTATGGCGTAGACGGATGAGGACGACAGAGACGAGCCCTTACCTCCTACTGTTATCACTGGCAGCTTCGCCATTGTCGGAGCTCAGAGAGAAAGAGACGGCGAGAGGAGAGGTTTAGCTGGTTTCCGAAGTAGGGATTTTCTCGTTTCTGAGGTAGGGTTTTTCAGCAGCCACATCATGTCATCAAGTAGCCACATCATACTATCATGTGGCCACGTCATGTCATCACGTGGTTTAAAAGTTGGTCTCCTGGCATTAACCATCATTTATCGCGAAGCCGCCAACGCACCAAAAACCCACCCAAAATCTCTCTTCGTTTTTTCGCGGAGGCAGCAGCCATGGCGTCCCTCTCCTCGGCGATCTCCAGTACTCCCGGCCACACGCTCTCCCCTCAACGCAATTGCTCACGACGCCAAGCCCAGGAAGCTCTGCTACTCTCATTGCCCTACATTTCTTCTCCCTCCTCACCGCTCTCCCATTTGCAGGTAGTCAATTTTTTTTCTTTTCTGGATTCCATTTTCTGTTTGTTTCCCGAGAAAATGGAAGAGCTTTGTGTATACCGAGAAGCGAAAGCACAGCGGAAAATGGAAATGTTTTCCAAGGGATGTTGGGACCTTTTTTGTTCTTTTGTCTAATTGTTGTTTGGTGCTGGTACTTTTAGCTAATTCATTGTTAGTTCAGTTTTTGTTTTATTTTAATTTCGAGCACGCCCGAAAGAGATAGTATCGCATTGCTTCAATCTGGATGAATTTTCTATTTGCTTGATGTCACCGTCGTTTCCAAGTAGTTGTTTTTTTCTTTGAACATTCTTGCTTTCTATATTGACTAGTATTGAATTTGATTACATCTCACAACTAACATGACCAAAGTAGGTACTTTCAACCTTCAAGATAGATGTTCAATTTTCTATCACAGTTTTGCATTTTACTTTGAGAAATTTACTTTTTATTGTGCAGTTAAACAGTCCTTTTTTTTTATCATCCTCCTTTTTCACTTCTAAAATTAGTGATGTAACTTTTGATTATCTTAAGTTATTTATTAATTTACGAGGAGGTTTGCTGACTTTTGCAGAAGGGGTTTTGTTTCGGGGCTGGAAAGGAAACGGACGCTGAAAACCCGTATCTTTGCATCAGTCACTGGTTCATTTCCCATACTTTTCTATAACTCTTCATATATTTCTCTAAGGGTCTTGTATGTTTAACTTTTCATCTAACTCTAGTTTCCTTTCCTTTATTAGTAGATACTCCAGTAAATGCATCCCCTGAAAAAGTTCAGTTTCCAAAAGGTGACAGCTGGTCCGTTCATAAATTTGGCGGTACTTGTGTGGGGAGTTCAGAAAGAATTAAGAATGTTGCAAAAATAATTCTTAGTGATGATTCAGAGAGGAAGTTTGTAGTTGTCTCTGCAATGTCCAAGGTAACAGATATGATGTATGATCTTATCTACAAGGCTCAGTCACGAGATGAGACCTACATATCTGCATTAGATGTGGTTTTAGAAAAGCACAAATGTACAGCTCTTGATCTACTTGATGGGGATGATCTTAGTAGTTTCTTAGCACAATTGCATCACGACATTAGTAACCTGAAAGCGATGCTTCGTGCTATATACATTGGTACTACACTTCTCTCTCTCTCTCTCTCTCTCTCTCTCTCTCTCTCTTTATTCATTTATTATTTTCCACCAAACATCAGGACATTAGTGGCTCTCTATCTATATAAACTCTAATGGATTTTCACAAAAAGTAAATTTGTTGTGTAATTTCAACAGTTCCTATCAGAATTTAAACAGTTCATGTTTAGTATTGTATTATGTTTGTGTTTATATTACAAACAATATAAGCCAGTGTTTTCCTTCATAGAAAGACTAATTCTTTTATATGAATTCTCAGTAGTGTGGAATGGAGTTAATGACTTCTGTAATTCTTCCAATTTTGCTTCCTGATTAATTACAATACATTAGCCGAATGGATGAAAATAAATAGAAGGGTTAGTGCCCTAACATCAGCAATTTCTGTAATTGTGAATTTGTTATTTTTCCTAGTCTTAGCTGTTGTGCCACTTAATTTGGATTTACTGGTTAATTTTTTTAGCGTCCACTCTTCTAAGTTTGGATAAACTTTGAGGTCGGAGCTTATCAGGTTGACTATTTTCCTTACTTATGGCAGCTGGTCATGCGACAGAATCATTCACAGAATTTGTTGTAGGACATGGAGAGTTATGGTCTGCGCAGATGCTGTCATGTGTTATTAGAAAGGTATATTGGTGGCCTGTCAGTTTTCAAGGGCATTTGCTGAATGTCACTTTTCCTAGTTTTCTAATATATTAATATTTTTTTATATTTCCTTCTGCAGAATGGGGTAGATTGCAATTGGATGGATACAAGGGAAGTCCTTATTGTGAATCCTACAAGTTCTAATCAAGTTGATCCTGATTTCAAGGCATCTGAAGATAGACTTGAGAAATGGTATTCCAAAAATCCATCAAAAACAATCATAGCTACTGGCTTTATTGCTAGCACACCTCAAAATATTCCTACTACTTTGAAGAGAGATGGAAGTGACTTCTCTGCAGCTATCATGGGTGCTCTATTCAAGGCTCGTCAAGTCACAATTTGGACAGATGTTGATGGAGTCTATAGTGCAGATCCCAGAAAAGGTTCGTATTGCCTTTGTATTTGGTAAACAGTATAAAATATCATAACTTTTAATAGCTATACATATAAATACAGGTGCTCATTTTTTTGGGAGAATAATTGGTTGATGCCATTTTGAGAAAGTTAAAAATGTTACTGAGTTACTGTGGGATTTAACTAATGATAAGAAATCTCCATCTGCAGTCAGTGAGGCAGTGATTCTGAAGACTTTGTCTTATCAAGAAGCCTGGGAAATGGTGAACCTCACTACTCACCATCAAACTTTCTGAGATTGGTGCGTTTACAATTATGACATTTAATATACATGTATGTGCAGTCTTATTTTGGGGCAAATGTTCTGCATCCACGCACTATCATCCCAGTGATGCGATATGACATTCCAATTATAATAAGGAACATTTTCAACCTTGCTGCACCTGGAACAAAAATTTGTCGCTCTACTGAGGATGAAACTGCCCAGGGTTTGGAGTCATTTGTCAAAGGGTTTGCCACAATAGACAACTTGGCTCTTGTCAATGTGGAAGGGTGAGCTTTGCATTACAGTGATTGTTGCTGGATTTGAATTAATATTTACTTTCCCCCATTTTTGTAACATTCTCCTTTGTTTATCACAGAACTGGAATGGCTGGTGTTCCTGGTACAGCCAGTGCTATCTTTAGTGCTGTAAAAGATGTTGGGGCTAATGTTATTATGATATCTCAGGTTACTTCATCCTCTGAATCCATCATGTTCATGGCATGCCGATAGAGTAACACATCTATGATGCTTAATGTTAGTGATGATTCACTGTAGGCTAGTAGTGAGCACTCTGTGTGCTTTGCTGTCCCTGAGAAGGAAGTGAATGCTGTTTCTGAGTTACTGCAGTCTAGATTTCGTGAGGCTTTGAATGCTGGGCGTCTTTCTCAGGTGCTTACTCTTTATTTGACTAATTTTCTTGGCCAGGTTGCTTGATACTTGCCTTAAGCAGATCAAGGACAATGTACTGACATTTACAATTAGTTTATTGTTTATTTACTAATGAAAAACCTATTGGACCCACATTTTGTGGATAAGTTAAAAAATTACAGCGTACAAGAAGAGTTGAAAATGGTGACATGAATTTTAATGTCAAAGCCTGTTGGTTTTATATTCAGATTTGTTTGTTTCCTTGTGAATACTGAAATTGCACTCTATTTCATTTTAATTATTGACTGGATCTTTGGTTCATTTTTATACCAATTTCTGGCACCTCCTCCCTCTCAGGTTCAAGTCATTCCAAACTGTAGTATTTTGGCAACAGTTGGCCAAAAAATGGCCAGTACTCCTGGAGTTAGTGCAACTCTTTTCAATGCACTGGCAAAGGTTAGGGATTTATTATATTCTATTAATTTTAGCAACAAGTTGGACTATTATATTGGATTTTAACAATTCATGGTTTGTATACTGGTTTACAATGTGGGCTATTGTAGTCTTTGATTCTCATAATCCATTATTACATTATGAAGGGATGTAAATTGTTTTATTAAATGCAGGCAAACATTAATGTGCGTGCCATTGCTCAAGGTTGTTCTGAGTACAATATTACTGTAGTTGTAAAGCGGGAGGATTGTATTAGGGCTCTGAGAGCTGTCCATTCAAGATTCTATCATTCAAGGACCACAATAGCAATGGGCATCATCGGACCTGGTCTGATTGGTGCCACATTACTAGATCAATTAAGGGATCAGGTACATTATTTCGCCTTTTCATTTGTTATTATCTGGTTTTGTACAATATAGCACATGTAATCTGTCAATGAAAATTCTTCATGGCACTTAGAAACTGAAAACTTAGAAGAGAGATTGTATCGTTCTGTGTGCTTTGTTGGTGGCCTTTTTCGGTTTTTGCATATTAGTACCCATCCTAGTCGGATTTAGTTTAGAGAGCAGCAAGATTTTGAATTGTACTGAATCCATTCTTGTTCTGTTTATGAGGTGAGATGTGGGTTGCTTGTGCACAGAAAATACAGCCAAATGAATAGTAAAAAATATTCTGAGGGCATGCATGTTGTTCATTTACAGCCACATACAAGTTAAAATAGTTTCATGGCCCAACCAATTGAGTTATTCTCCCTAAATTTATCATCTTTGTCATAAGTTTATAGTTGCCTCCTCTCTCTCCTTCCCACACTTGCACACACTTTGCTCTAATTTTACTATCAAAGTTATATATTGCTTCTCTTACTAACCAAACTTTGATGAACACCAGGTGTTTTGAATTTCTTTCATATGGTTGGGCAAATCATTAAATTGAAATTTTCAAATCTTTGCAGACAACTACCCTCAAGGAAGAGTTTAACATTGATTTGCGTGTTATGGGAATCACTGGCTCACGGACAATGCTTTTGAGTGAGGCGTAAGTTAAAAAGCTTTCAATGGAATATCATTTAATCAAATGCTTTGCATAATCTGAAGTA